TGTCTAAGGAATTTGACTGCTAACCAGAAGGGCAGTGGTTCAAAGCCACCAGCTACTCCTCAGAAGGAAGACTGGGCAATCTACTCCTGTAGAGAAATGCCTCAGAACCCCAAGGAGGGGTGACTATGAGTTGTATTTGACTTGACAGCACTGAGTTTATTTTATTTCTTTATTTATATGTTATCTATATAGCTTGCTTACCATATCATGGAAGCAGTGTAAAGTGTTTCTGTTCCTCTAATATACAGCTGCTCCCCAATTAACCCACTTCTCTTTTCACAATGTGCCTTTTAGTAATATTTTTATCATTCTCAAAGGAAATGTATTTTCATAATTATTTTTCAAATGAAAAAATGACTGAATATTTTAATTTATTCTATAATAGTAAGTGCTGTATTTCAAAATAAATTGTTACAATGTTCTTTCTAGGTGTACCAATATTTTAAACATGGATATACAGAAGATAAATTTTAACATAAAATATTGCTAAAGATGACATTTCTGGCTTTTTGAGACTAAAATTTTCATTGGGAGCTTTTAACATACCAAGCACATGTGACTGGGACTTGCTTATTCATAATATCAAATCTCTTATCTATTGCTAATTCAAACAATCAAAGTTTTTATAAAGTAAAAACTTTGATAAATGATATATTTTAATGAATTTATATAATAAATTTACATAAGTGCATCTATACAATTTTAAACTATGATCTCAATTTATTTTTGGAAACATGAATTTCAGCTAATAACCAATTTCATATACATATTCTAAAATATTTTTTTCATGATTTTTATAAAGGCATATTTTATTTGTTCATTTCTAAGACTATAGATAATAGGGTTGAAGAATGGGGGAATTATGGAATAGAACACAGAGATTACTATGTCTTGGATGGTTGCAGACATTGTAGATGGCCTTACATACTCATAGCAAAGGGAAATGAGGAAGATCAACACCACGAAGATATGAGGGATGCAAGTGGAAAAGGCCTTTGTTCTGTTTGCTCCAACTGGGAACTTGAGCACAGTAGAAAATATATGTATGTAAGACTTGATGATGAAGATGAAACAACCTCCAGCAACCACTATAGAAGAAGCAAGGAGTGTCATCTCATTGCTGAAGGTGTCAGAGCAGGAGAGTTTTAACAGAGAGGGGATGTCACAGAAAAACTGATGAATTATGTGGGAATGACAAAAGGGCAGCCTGAAGGTGTAGCCTGTGTGGAATCCTGCATAAACAAGACCACTGAGGACGGAAGCCAGTGTCATCTGGACACAGACCCGAGGGTTCATGATCACAGGGTAGTGCAGAGGATGGCAGATGGCCACATAACGGTCATGGGCCATGATGGTGAGGAACAGTAGCTCCACATACACAGAGAAAACCATGAAGAAGACTTGTGCTATGCATCCTAACTTGGAAATTGCACTGTTGTCAAGCAGGGAGTTGAGACATGAATTAGGGACCATTACTGAAATGTAGCATGCATCCAAGACGGACAGATTCCTGAGAAAGAAGTACATTGGAGTATGAAGGCTCTTGTCCAGGGTGGTGACAATAACAATAAGAAAATTCCCAATGAGAGTCATCAAATACATTATAGAGAAGGATACGACATTCAAAATTCGTAGTTCCCATACATCAGAAAACCCCATCAGGAGAAAGCCCATCATCATGGTGGAATTAGACATCTCTGGGTGAGACATCTCATATCTGGGAGGCAGTCAGGGAAGCCCTAAACACATGAAGAATTAAATGATGAGAAGACAGCTTTCAGTTGTTTTTCTCTTGCACTTTTCCTAATTCTAATCACTATTTATGTCTCTAATATTTTGGAAAGTAAACCATGTAGTGCTTTATTAATGTCCATAATATTCTAATTCTTATTGTAGGAATGATACATAAATCAGAAACTTTCTCATGAACATAACACATATATTTTTCATTACTGCCATGTGCATATCTAAATCTAGTTTTCTTGTGAATAAATACTTAACATATTTGTTGCTATCTATTCACTGCCTGTTTCAACCCAGCAAGAAGTGCTTCAGAAGAAAGCCCTGGTGATCCTTTCCAAAACACCAGTCATTATGGACCTTACTGAGCACAGTTGTACTGTAAGTTTCATGAAAGCAACAAAAGTCACAGGGAACTTGATGAAATTGTTTCAGTAAATAATAGCTTACATTGATAATGTTGGCTTTTTAAAGGAACTTCAGGGATACCTATGATATTTGGAACCACACAGACAAGTAACCTATACATAGTTAAAACTGCATTTCAAAATTCTTTATTCGAAATTAAAGATTTTCCAAATTCTGCTCAAATATTTCAAATGCCTTTGGTTTCCTCCTTTTTGGTTCAGTTATCAATTATATTGCTTATGCAATTTTTACAGACATCCTGAGCAAAGGCTATGATGTCTTTTATCAGTCTTATGAAATCTTTTACCAACTGCTTTATACTGGTGGGGAATTCAGTAGTTGATTTTTCTTATATGTTTTCTTAAGGAGCTCTGGTGATGTAGTGATTAAAATATTTGGCTGCTAACCAAAAGGTTGATGGTGGAACCCACCAGGCTGTCATAGGAAGAAAGTGGAGATAGTCTGCATGATAGAGATTTACAGCCTTGTAAACCCAATGGGAATCAGTATGATCAGAATTGACTCAATGGCAGTGATTTTTTGTTTGTTTGTTTTGGTTTACATGTCTTTTATGTTCTTTCTAAGTTCCTCACATATTGTATCTCACCCCACATTTTGGCCTTTCAGCATCAAGTAAAATATGTACGTGTGTTTGATAATAAGTAAAGATTTATAACACTGGATAAATTGACATTTCACTAAAATATCACTTATTTTACCTATATGGCTTTAGATGTAGAGTCATAAATTTTTCTACTGCATTATACCACTCCTCAAAAGGAAGATTGGGCAATGTACTTCTCTAGCCATACAGTCTCGGAAACCCAAAGAAGGGTCACTAAGGGTCAGATCTGAATACATGGCAGTAAGTTTGGTTTGAGTTTGGTTATTATGAAGATATTATCCTTATATGCATAAACAATTGAAGTAATAGATCATATATTCTAGATCATTGTTTGAAGTTAGTTGAAGAGAGAGAAAAATATAAGAATTTTAGTGATTAACAAAATCTAATCTATGATTATCTGGATAAAAATAACGCTTCAATCATTATGTTAAATTGTCAGGTAACAGAAATTTTGTTTTAAACAAACTGCCATGGAAATAAAGACACTTGCTTTTACTTTTCCCTATCAAACTAATGTTTTCTATTTTGCCTTATGTAAAGAAAATCTCAACATGGAAATTTGAATTGATTACATAAATTACAGTAGACCTTTATTTTCACTTCAAATAATAGTTCATAAATTTTCTTCCATTATTTCATTTTCACACAAATTGGTTTGAATGAGAAATTGAGCCCTGGTGTCTAAATCCTAATTCTCCTGGAAGCTTAAAAACAGTTTTGACAATAACGTAATACTAAAAGAAAAACTAAAACAAGCCAAAAATATATAAATATATACATTCATCTGATGTATTGACTATATTTTCCCTTTTTTGAAAAATTTTCTCATTGTTAGTAAACATCTAAGCGAGCTCATCAGAAGATTTTCACCCACAAAAAGAAAAAATAAAAATATTTTTAGTTAGGTAAACTAAATCAAAAAAAAGAGAGGAACTTATTTTGTTGTATTATATCCTATCTTTCACATCTCTTGATAAAACTCTCTGATAAATATTAAGTGTAATATAAAGATAGTAGCTCTGGTAGCATAGTGGCTAAGTCACTTGCCTGCTAACCAGACGGCTGGCGGTTCAAACCCACCAGCCACTCCTCGGAAGGAAGGTTGGGCAATCCTACTTCCGTAGTGATACTGCCTCGAAAACCCAAGGAGGGGTCGCTATGAGTCGGGCCGACTCGACGGCGCATAACAACAACAACAACAATATAAAGATGGAAAATCAAGGGTGTGCTGTATTTACTTTTGTAGAAAAGAATAGAAAATATAACTAGAAAGGGTTGATGATAAATTGAATAAGCAGATATAGAAAAGAACAAAAATATAAAAACTGGAAAATGACCAAGGAATTCTTCACTGTTGAGTGAAGGATATTTTATTTTCATTTTTTTTCTTATCAATCCAAATATAGACGTAAGTATTTATATTCAGTTAATTATACTTAATTAACTAGAGTTAATTGTGACATGCACATATTTTAATTTAAAACTTGCAGAAGTATTTAACTGGGTTATAAATTTATTATTATTATATTTCTCTTTATTAAAAATCAAATGAATAGGATATTATTAGACATTTATCAAAGTAATCCTCTTAGTCACATCAGTTGGGAAAATTTAGAGTTGACATTTTGAGAGTGAGTTTTCAAATTTTAACTGAAATCGTATTAAATGAAGCCATAATTTGTTTTTGAAATTGTATCACTATTATCCTTGTCCTGGTCATACATATTTACAATTAGAGAATATAACCTATGCATCTTTGTTTTAGGGATTTAAAAGATACAATGCTAGTGCTTCATATTAAAAGATAAGTGATACCCAGTATTTGTAACTCGTGGTTAGTGGAGGAAATATGCAATATATAGAATTAAGTTCATATGTTACTGTTTTTTAATTTACATGTATAAAACATTAATATGTTTAGTTTGAATAAATTGCATTTTCCATATATAAATCATACCTCTATAGCAGATTTAAGTGACAAAAGTTTCCTCTCTGGAAGCACAAACCTTCTTGATAATTAGTCAACATCTAGAAATTAAAAGAAATTGTGTTTACACAAGCAAGACACATAAGGGTTTTTCACCATTAACTAGTCACTCAACATCAATAAACAGTACATTTATTGATAACTTACTTAAAATAATTACATACTTAATTGTATGCCTTTCTATAAACATAAGTGCTGTCTATGGGAAATCTACTTCCGTAGTGATACTGCCTCGGAAACCCAAGGAGGGATCGCCATGAGTTGGGGCCGACTTGAAGGCATATAACTATAACACAACAACCACATATTTCTTGTACATTCAGATGTTCGAGGGGTTCAAAAATGGACTTATGTTATCTGCAATATTCTTAACACAGATCTTCATCACTATGTTAAATTAGGTAAAAATCTTCAGACTGACATAGGTTGAAATTTGAAGCATATATTTCTTATTCTAATTTTATATTTATTAAACAAACTATTTTGAACTTCACTTTCTACCTGGAAGATAACATATTTCCAACAGAAGCTTCTGGTTTGTAGAATGTGATTTGTCTCTTGCTTCAAACATTTAATTACCCTCAATTATCATTGTGGTAATGTATTCCTTAGATATTTATTTTACAAGAATATTTTCAAAAGTAGCAGACACTTAAAAGTTTAGGTATGTTAAAGGAAACTGTTCAATTTATTCAAAATTATTTTCTAAGTAGGTAAATTTACCCCTTGATATAGTCCTTTGATCTTTTTTAAAAACTGAAGTAATAATTTGACCCCTTCTTCTAAATGGAAAGTGTCATAGGATTATTCTGAAAAGGTTTATTGGTTTGATTGCATTTTTCTAAAGAGCATATGAATAGTGCATAACCTTCTGTGCAACAAAATGAAGAATATATTTTTCTACTTTGTATATATAAAATAAAAAATAAATTGATTAAAGCTTTAATGGAATTATTCATGGGGAGTCATCCAGTTATTTATATATTAGCATATTGATCCAGTCATGCAAGAAATTATGACTAAAAGCATAACCTTTCTCAGAAATTTATTAGAGATTTACTCTATCCTGTTAAGTTTATTATGACTCATACTGACACTATAGGACAAGGTAGACCTACATTACAGGGCTTCCAAGGCTGTGATCTTTATGGAAGGCTACTGCCAATTTTTTTTTCAGCAGATTGGTTGGTGGGTTGGGACCACTGACTCTTTAGTTAGCAGTCAAATGCTTAACCATCAGGCATCCTTTGATTAAAGATCAAAACCTAGCTTTTAGCACAATATTTAAATTCTGCAGATATACATATAATGTAATGAATTTAATATTTTAATACTTAAATATTCTAATTTATGTTATATTTGTATACTTATACCTTTCTGAGTTATAATTTTGTGTTTTGGTGAAATTTTAGGAATCTCCCACACATACTTGGTGAAAGATATGTAAAGATATATTCAATTTTTTATTTGGGGGATTTTGAGATTTAAATTGATAGTTTCCTTAAAGAATATTACTTCAAAACTCTGGCTCCTCTGATCAGAACATTTTCAGTCCTTGACATAATAGGTACAAAAAACTAAAACCAAACTCACTGCCGTCGAGTCGGATCCGACTCATAGTGACCCCTCCTTGGGTTTCTGAGGCAGTATCACTATGGAAATAGGTTGCCCAGTCTTCCTTCAGAGAAGTGGCTGGTGGGTTTGAACCCCCAGCCTTCTGCTGAGCAGTCACATGCCTTATTCACTCTGCCACCAGGCAGCATATTGTTCATTGATTTATTACTTTGTTTTTAATCATGACAGACAATTGACTTTTTATTTCCTTCAAGTGAGCCATTCAGTGTTATGAAACAGTTGGATTGACTAATATTTCAGAGAAATATTTAGGTTTATATTTCATACCAGTACCAATATGCAGTTTTATTTTCAATT